TTCAATGTTGAAAAGCCCGAGTCAGCCGATCGAGACATGCTCCAGGAAGTCACCATAAAAAGCGAGCCCAGTATACTCGATTTTCACCGTCTAATGGAGCTCACAAACTACAGTGACAAGGGGAACTGTCAATTAGCCAACTTGATAAAAAACTGGGAATTCAAACAAGAAAACGCAGTTCGACTCCTCTGGGAAGAGCTCGACACACTCAGCAAACAGCAGCAAGAAGTCGAGCTCAAGAAGCTCGAGATTCTTGAAGAGCACAGGTTCGAGAGTGATGGAATTTTTGGAGGGGATAAACGGCCCGTCTCGATTCTTGACGAGAATATGAAGTATTTGTATCAGGATTTGCCGAGGAGGAGAAATGAAGTGGTTTTGAAGGATGAAAAGAAGGTGGAGATTGATGATGGCGAGTATGATAGTGTGGTGAATTGGAAGCAGAGGGCTGTGCAGTTGGAGAAGCTTCTAGAAGCTAGCTTGGGGAGGGAACAAGTTCTGCTCGAGAAGCTTCAGGAGAGTATCGAGAATTTGGAGAGGCAGTCTTCGCCTGTTGAGGAGCTCTCGCAGGTTTTGAAAAGGCCCGATAATTTCTTGCATTTTGTTCTGCAGAATGCGCCTGTTGTGATTGCTCACCAGGTAATTTCTTGCATTTTGTGGTAATAAAAGCGATCTTTTTCGGGCCTCAGCTGAGAAAGTCATTTTTGGGCTTTTTCGAGGGAAAAATTACATTGATGATAAGTTGTTTGAGCTTTCTGGTTTGCTGCTTGATTTGACTTGTTTGAGCTTTCTTTGTATAAAATCTCGTAATATGAGACAAAACGACTCAAGATTTCATTTTCCATCGGTTTATAGCTATTAAAACGTTGATAGCTATTAAACTCGGTTCATAGCATAATCTTAGAAAGTTAATAATTTTTTTCAGATTTATGTTTGACAATAGTTCTCCATTTTTTCACAGGATAAGGAACTAAGGTACCGTTTCATTTTTAACCATTTTCCGAGTCTTGGAGAGCAGGTTAGCCTAATACTAGTTACTACCTTACATTCTTACAAATGCTGAATGTTATTTCATCTGATATTGAAGTATCTGATGTTTCTTTTCTTTCACAGGACATTATAGGCAAAACGGACGCGGAGATCTTTTCTGGGGTTGGCCTGAAAGAATCGGTAGATTTCAAAAGGGATGTCCTCGAGCGAGGACTTCCCGCCAAAAGGGAGATCACATTCGAGACCGAGCTGTTTGGTTCAAAGACATTCTTAATATATGTCGAGCCCGTTTTCAGCAAGACAGGCGAGACAATCGGTGTAAATTACATGGCAATGGAAGTAACTGATCAGGTAAAAATATTCACCTAGTTTTTTTTTAGTAAAATATTCACCTAGTTGTTTGTGATACTTCAAAAATCGATTATCCCGAGTTTGATTGAAAAATGGAGTACTTATTTCTATCTACATGTCTTTTACAGACATTTTAATAATTTCTTGTGGAAGCTTTTTTTCTATTACTATTAATTTCTTTCATATCCTAAGGTTCATTTTTGTGTTTCACAGGTCAGAAAGAGAGAGAGAATGGCAAAACTTAGAGAAGAAATGGCTGTCCAAAAAGCTAAAGAGACAGAGCTTAACAAAACAATCCACATAACAGGTTATGTAATATTTGGAACAGCTGTGTCGATATACAAGAAAGGGTCACTTATTTGTAAAATCTGTGTGGTTCTTTATTTATTTTCTTACAGAGGAATCAATGAGAGCGAAAAAAATGCTCGCAACAATGTCTCATGAGATAAGGTCTCCTCTATCGGGAGTTGTAAGCATGGCCGAGATTCTTTCGACCACTAATCTCGATAAAGAACAAAATCAGTTTCTGAAAGTGATGTTGTCTTCTGGTGATTTAGTCCTTCAACTGATTAACGACATTCTTGACCTTTCAAAAGTCGAGTCAGGTGTGATAATTTAATTTCGTTCTTTATTTTTATTTATTTTTATTTTTTTGGAAGTTCAACTTAATATAAGCTCATGTAAGCTCTGAATTGTTTTTGTTAGTTTTTTTTTTTTTTTTTGGCCTCGTTCAGTGAAAATTTTTGCGACTCGCTTTAGTTTTGCAATAAGAGATTTTTAGTGGGAATTTATGAAAATTTGAAGTGAGCTTAATCTTTTTTTTAGGAGTTATGAAATTGGAAGCTACCAAATTTAGACCAAGAGAAGTGGTAAAACACGTTCTTCAGACAGCAGCAGCTTCATTACAGAAATTACTAACCTTAGAAGGTCATGTATCGGACGATGTTCCTGTGGAGGTAAAAAAATGGAAGAAAAAAAAATGAATAAGAAAATCTTCATTTTATGTATGTTCTTATTCGAAGCTAAGTTCGCATTGCAATTACAACGATGTGTGTGTGTGTGTGTGTGTTTTATGTATTTTATTTTAGGTTATTGGAGATGTCCTAAGGATTCGACAAATTCTCACAAACCTGGTCAGGTAATTAATTATAAAGATCGTAAAGTTTCGCGCTCTATATATGTATAGTAACAAATGCAAGTTATTTAATAGATTTACTATAGTATATGCCGATGTTTTTTAATGCAGCAATGCCATCAAGTTTACTCATGAAGGAAAGGTCGGAATAAACCTCTATGTGATCCACGAGCCATCGACAATAGCTAATACGATGAAAGACATGTCAATGTCTGATCAGCATGAAAACGGGACGTGTGAAAACCAAAATCTAAACAATGGGTCTACTGAGAAAGAAGATGAAAAGGACACGATAAATGAGGAACGAGTCGTGTGGATACGTTGTGATGTTTACGATACGGGCATTGGAATACCCGGTATACTTTACTCAAAGTTCATATTATTTTTTTTTAAGTGTTCTCTGAGTGAAAATTATACACTCAAGATGGGGTATTTGTTAGGTAAATACTGAAGTCAAATGTGTTGTTTTAAAATTATACACTTTCAGGGATATTTGTAATTTATGAAAAATTATTATCCTTTTTGAACTTCTTGTAACAGAAAACTAACACAGTTTACTTCCCCTTTTGAACTTTTTGTAAAAGAAAATGCAATACCAACCCTTTTCAAGAAATACATGCAAGTTGGTGCAGACACTGCTCGAAAATATGGTGGGACGGGACTCGGCCTCGCAATCTGTAAACAACTGGTAATTTTTCGTTGGCTACAACCGAGCCGAACCGAGTCGAACATTGGCCTTATCGAGCAAGATTTTTTTTTTCTTTTACCTGGTCGAGCTCGAGCTTGATTTATGACGCTCGAGATCGACTCGACAAAAGAAGACAATTGCTCGAGCTCGGCTCGAGGTGGATTGAAATCAAGATGCTCGAAATATTGCTCGAGTTCGGCTCGAGTTTTGACTCAAATTTCAAGTAAAATTATTATTAAGTACATATATAAAATATTGTAATATTTATATATAAGAGGTATTTTAGTAATTCACCACATACCTCGAGCCGCTCTTCCAAAACCTATGTTCGAGATCGACTTGGTAACATGCTCGAGCTCGGCCTGAGTTCGGTCAAAATCGAGCTCTAGCCGAACTTTGACTCGAGCGCTCGCGAGCCGCTCGGTTCGTTTGCATCCCTAAGTTCTGGTCGAAAAAAAAACGTCTTTTAATCACCGATCAAGAAAATTTGCTTTATTTCATGAAAACAGGTCGAGCTAATGGGAGGCCAACTCACCGTATCCAGCGTGGAAAACCAGGGCTCGACTTTCACTTTCGTGCTCCCTTACAAGGTCTCGTCGGCCTCCGAAACGAACTCCGACGACCCAGACGAGCTTTCCGATTCTGAACACGAACTCTCGGGCGTGTTCCTTTTCCCTCCGCGCAACCTCGGCTCCTTGTTCTCCTCCCAAGCTTCCGGAAGGATCCAGAAGAAGCTCGGCCCGAATAATTTTACCCTCAACAAATGCAACGGGCTATTATTGTTGGAGGAGGACTCATTATTACCTCCCACTAGCACGGTAACTTCGGAAAGTGAGAAAATTGATGGGCAATTTCGCCCCTATTCTTGTACTCCGGAGGCTTGTGTGGCTCCGTGTCTGGATGACGAGAGTTCCGAGTGCAGCTCGTCTAGCAATAGTCTCGATATCTTGGGAGTTTGCTCGAGGCCGAAAATTCTTCTCGTCGAGGATAATGAGATTAATGTGATGGTGGCGAAATCAATGATGAAGCAATTGGGGCATGAGATTGACGTCGTGCATAATGGATTAGAGGCCCTTCGCATGGTTCAATCCAACGATTATCATCTCATTCTAATGGTATGATTTCAAGTAACTTTTTTTTAAAGAAAAAAAAAAGTTTCTTGGGTAAATTACGAATGAAAAAAAAAAAACTATATATGCAGGATATATGCATGCCGGTTATGGACGGTCTTCAAGCTACGAAACTGATCAGATCATATGAGGAAACCGGTAATTGGGACGAGGCGTTAAAAGCCGAAGTCGATATTCAGTTGCCTTGTCGAAATTCTTGCTCGAATTCACGAGTAGGAAAAACGAGAAAGAGGATTCCTATTGTAGCGGTAAGTTAAACAAACTTCTTATCAAACAAAACACATCGATGAACTTTCTTGCGGAAAAAAATGGTGCTAAAAATTGGTTTATGTTCTGCAGATGACGGCAAATGCAATGTCGGAAAGTGCGGACGAATGTTACGCGAATGGGATGGACTCGTTCGTGACGAAGCCGATTACTTTTCAGAACTTGAAAAAATGTTTACAACAGTACCTCCTCTGAAAAGCTGCTTGCATATTGTACAGAAAAAAAAAAAGCTTCTAAAGTGTAATGGTTTCTTGCAGTTGTATATAAATATGAAGTTGCCTTTTGTTTATTATATGAAACGGTATACTTTTTTTTCTTCATTTTATTATATGAAGTTGCATGAAAAAAAAAAAAAAAAATCAATATTTCTCATTTTAACTACTTATTGCATCTTTTGGGGAGATTCTACCGTTACGGAATCATTCTGTCGGGGTTAGTAACCATTAAATCAACTAGCCACTCCCTTCGACACTTGGCATACACGACATCGCGCCACAAAACGAGTCACATCACGCCTCAAGCTCGGCCAAAAGTAGGACCGACCCACGAGCTCGACGGAGCGGTCGCGGCCCACGTGGCCCGCGCCATGCAGATCGGCGATTAGACGCAGCCGAAGACTCACGTCTGGAATGCACAAACGCGAACCCTTGAACAAAAAGCCATCTACCAGAGAATAATCATCAAAGGGTCCACGGGCAAGAGACATGAAAATGGGGCCAAAGAATGGGTCATCCGCATAAGCGTCCCGAGGAACATCAAAACCGACGACGGAGACCCGCAGATCCGTGAGAAGCATCGTGCGCCTGCTCAAGGCATCCGCCACCCGATTCGACGCCCCCGATCGATGGCGAAGCACAAACGTGAACTGCTGTAGAAAAGTCGTCCACGAAGCATGACGCGTCGATATGTGATCCTGAGAAGCCAAGTGGCGCAACGCCTCATGATCTGAAAAAAGAACGAACTCTCGGTGAAACAGATAGTGTCGCCAATG